ATTTTAAAAATGTTTTTTAATTAGAAAATATATTGCTAAAATTAATTGTTAAAATTTTATTATAAAAATTAATTTTTAAAAAAAAGATGCAGCCAAATTTGTATGCAATACAATTTAAGGGATATATATTTTATTTTTATATTAATATTTTTATATTTTCTTATTTGCACTATGAATAAAATTTGTGAAGTCATTTCATTTACTAGTAGAAAGAATAAAATTAATGTTGACAGCTATCTTATAGCTAAAGATAAAAGTTATATATATACTATTAGTATTGTGAAAAGCAGAACATACTGGAATGCAAAGGTTATGCAGTAATCAGACTAGTTAATAATTAATATAACTTTCAAAATACATCAGATTATGCAGCACAAGCAAGCAAAGCAGAAGTTGTAAAAATGATTACTAGGATAAAGAAGCATGCATAACTAACTAGTGAAAAGCCAGTGCAAGTTTTGCAAACAGCAATCACCAACAGTTCTTAATTTGTGTACTAATAACTTTCATCACTTAATACAATATGCTAAATAATTAAAAGAATTTATTACTTTGACCTTTTAATAAATCTATTGTTCTTGAAAAATCTATTTATTTCTAAGTATATAAAAAAAATCCTTTAGCAGATTAGACTTTTTAATTTATAATTCTATTTTAGAATAAGACAGAATTTTAATTTTTATAACTTTAGAAAACATTTGTCAACTAAATCAATCATCTTTTAAGTAATAAATAATATTTTTAAAACAATACTGAATATATTTAGACAGTTATATACTATTCATAATAACTTGTTAATTTTTAATATTTTTTATAATTATATGACAGGATGAAACTTGAGTTGTGAAATAGCAAAATTCACTTTGTCGATTGGGTTAGAGTAAAATTCATGTTTTATTATAGTTTTTATTATATAAAAGTGGATTTCACCCTTATGTGATGATCATAGCAGATTTTACTATTTCGCAACTCAGATTTCACTTTGTTATATAATTATTATTATGATTATTATTATTATCTGTTATTTATTTATTTATTTATTATTTAATTATTATTATTTATTTTATTTTATTTTATTATTTTTGGTTGTCTCATTAAGCATGATACATCAGCTTAATACATTTAAATTAAAATATAATTATACAAAATTTTACATATTAACTTGCAATTAAATAAATATATTAAATATTTAAAAATTTATTAAATATATTTATTAAAAAAATTAAATTAACTTTTGATTACATATTGTTTAAAAAAATCTCAAAGCAATCAATTTTTTTTAAAAAAAATTAAAAATTAAAATTTTTTAATATATTTTTAAATTAACCAATTATAATTAAGTATTTTTTATGCCATTATACAAGTACCTTGGTGTATTATTTGTGTATAAACTTGTAAAATTTTAACTATGTTTATTATGTAAAAAAAAGTTATAATAAAAAGAAAATTATCTATTTAAATTAGTTTACTATATAAAAAGTTAATTTTATATAGTAAAATTAATAATATTTATAGGAAATTACTAATTTATACTACAGGTGATAATTATCTATAATATATATATATAATATTAAATTTACATTATATTACATTATATGCAATCAAGTTACACAAATACTGCTAGATTATAGTAAATATTATATACATACATATGTACATACATATTGAACATTTTTATGAGTAATACAAATTTCAAAAAAAAATTTAGTACTAATGCTAAAATAAACCAAGTACGTACATATGTACATACATATATGAAGTTAGAAATTTATGATTATAGCATTAGTTTAAGAACTATATAATATCAATTCCTATATGTAAAATTTGGGTCCAACATTTTAATTAGAGTGTTAATATCAATTTAAATATTAGTTTTCAAATATTTTGATCTGTTTTTCAACTGCTAGGATATCAAAAAATTGAACTCACTAATTGGCCATTTTTACTTTAGGAGTTTGTATTACTTCTGAAAATAAATAGTTGCTATCAAATACATAAATCTCTAAACAACTACTATAAGTATTAGCCACACATAATAATCTTGTAAGAGAAATGTGATTTAGATCTATAAAATTAACACCAATAAGATCTTCAGATCATGTGCAGTATAAGATCAAAAATACCTTCTGTGCTCTAATAATAAAGTCATCAGTTTTTCTCTAATCTTGGCTGGTTCAACTAGAGTAGCTATTCATATTTTGTACTTGGAAAATGTATATTAGGCTGTTCCTGAACTATGAATCAGATTTCAAGATTTGGTGTAATGTAACATGATCAGAAAGATTCAAAACATATGTTCACTCTGCCAAAACTTGCTTATAACTCAAAAATCAGCATAATAAATCACCTTTTGCACTCTAACCAAAAGTTTTGTTAGACAATTTTACTATCAAAACTATTCTTCTCTAATTCATAACCCTGACCCTAACCCTAACCTTAATGAATTTTAAGAATTTTGCCTGCACCACAAACTTGGTACACATTTCTAAGTGCCCATGTGTTATATAACATAATGCAACTGAGATATTTCAAAATAAACATCTGTTTTGAAAAAAAATTACTTTTTTTACCAAATTGTATATGAGACTCTAAAAAAAAAGTGATTTATTCAATTTGTGCTAACATCTAACATTAAATACATCTGTTAATTTAAATGTAGTGTTATGCCTATAACATATAGTGTGTAGCAAAAGCCTGTTTGGAAGCCAGTTAGAGCCATTGTATTTTTTAATGCATTATTTTTCAAATAAGAAAATAGCAGTATTCCTTAAATTGGAGGAAATAGGTATGGTTATGTAGCGATAGTATAATGAAATAGATGCAGTAAATGAAATATTAGTAAATAGAATAGTTTTATCAAAACCAAAAGATTGGATGATCCCATTTAATAGTAATAGTAGCTTTTAGATCATAATGATATTTAACTAGCTAGCTTAAATAATTTGATTTGAAAGAAACAAATATATATTAATTTTAATCAATATACCTAAATCCAAATGTTCTTTACAATTCAAGCAAACAATATGAACACAAATAATTATTCTATATTGATTAATGTTGTATGATAATTATATTATTAGTTATGTTGAACAGGTTCTAACATTATGTCCATAATCCCTACAATTAGCATATTTGTTTCTTTTTCTTTCATGTTGCTCATTATGATCTGCTATGGATTGGGTATTTTGCATATTTTGATAAGTGCTGGTAATATTTTCAAGTATACTCTTATAACATTTAGGTGGTCGACCACAGTGTTTAGTCACATATGGATTTGCAGCAACTGATTGCTGTGATTTAACCATATTGTTACAATTATTTTTCTCATCTTCTAAGAGTTGCAGCTTACATGCTTTTGAAAAAATAAACCCTTCCATTATTTGAAAAAATTCATCATTACAATTAAGATGTATCATTAAGTTCAAGGCATTCTTGGATATTCTGTAGCCTTTTGACCAATAGCTCTTCTCACTAATAGATTTTTTTAAGGCAGAAGTGAACACATTATTAGTATAAAGCTAGGCCAGATATCTAAAATTAATCGCATAAGTATTGTTATCAGATAATGAAAGTTGGTTAGCTTTATACAATTTAATAGGTGGGTATAAAGAAATAAGATTTCTATAATCATTCATACTATTTTTATATCAATGACTTAAGATCAAAGAAATATGGAATCTTGCAAGATGTGATTTCATAAGAACTTTAAAAAAATGACAACAGATGATTCCTTTGCTGATTAAAGTGAGACAAGTACATAGGTGTATGCTGTCTGCAAGTAATATAACATGATTGCTGAAATGATTTAAAAAGGATCCTTGTAGTATTACAACCCATATTTGTAATATGTCTTTATATCTTAAAGTTTGCAATAATGACTTAAGACTGATTTGATACTGTTCGTAATTATCTTCAAGAAACCCAACTTCCATAGTATTTTTCAGTTCTGAGAAGTTTTTATCCCAATCAAAGAAAAGTTCAGTAATATTATATAGAAAGCTTTCTGAAAGCTGCTGCCTTTGAAGAGAGAGGATATGTGGAGTTAAGTATGTCTGAATCAAGGAATCAATAGTAGGAAAATACTGACTTGCAATATGAGGCAAACTCATAATAGGGTTTGCATTCTTTTGTTCATTAATTCTTGCATAATATGCTTCTTCATTTAACTGATTTTGTATTGCATCAACTAAATTTAATAATGTTGTATTATGTGAGACTTCTTTTTTGATAATTGCATTGATACCTTTCACATGTTGCGTACTTTGGATACTAGCAGTAAAACATGCTTGTGTATACCAAACTGCCCAACTATGATGCCTGGAATAAAGAGTTTCAAATGCATATCAGATTGCTTTAGAGAATGGTTCAAGGAATTCAATAAACCATGCCCAATGGTGCTCAAAATCAGCTTCAAACAGGCTATTATGAAAATTACAAAAATGTTTGTAGCACTCATTAAAATCTTTATTCATGATGCCTTTCATTTTTTTAATAAAATTGTTATTTAAATAGAAAATACAATGAGAATGTTGTGCATTAGGCCATAAGTTTTGCAGAGCTGCACCTATAGCTGGTTCAGTGTTTGAGTATATTGTCTTGGGAATGATACTGTTTGTTGCATCATTTAATTGCTCCAAAACCTATTCAAAAGAAGATTGTGTCTCATCTTTTAATAATACCTGTGCAGCAATGCATGAACAAGTATCATTATCAATGACCAAAAAAAAACATAATGCTATATCATAATGATTTGTTTTGCAAGTATTGTCGGTCATTACAACATTATGAAATTGAGTCCAAAGTTTAACTTGTAATGAAGACATCCAAAAAAGAGCAGTTAACCTATTTTCCTTGCCTTCAATTTTAGGTATAACTACCTATTCAGAATCTTCTATCTTTAATGCTATTAATTTTTTTAAAGTCTCTACAGCATTAGTTACTAAATTTTCACGAGATGGTCTCCAGAACTGCTGAATAGCATTGTATACATCTTTTTTTCAATATACTTATTAGGATACTTTGCTTTCAAAAGATTATATTGCAATGTAGCACCAATTCCCTCTGTAGAACATATATAAAACTTTATATCTTCAAGCATTTTATCTGACAATTTACAAAAATGTGGTGCAGTTTGAGCAACTAAGAGATTCATTTTATAGTTATGTTTATTGACAAATGAAGTACAAATTATCTCAATAGTTTCTTTATGATTATTAAAATTAACATGCCAGGAACAGTTTATTTGTGTAGATGACCTTTCACATTACTTGGTAATATCAACAGTTTTTTTGGACTTATGAGCATGTGAATATGAACACTCATAACTATGATAATGAATGCTTAAATAGTCTGAATGGAAATCATTTCTATTTTGTTTATAAGAAAATCCATAGTATTTGCCAAATGAATTCATAAATCTGTCTACGTCTTTCTATGAATTAAATGTAAGACCAGTATATAATTACAACATGCTTTTATGTGATCCTTCATTACTAAGATTGTCTTGTAAACTACAAAAAATAAAAACAAAATCAGTAATGTTCACAAAAATGCACAAACATAAGTGAATGTGACATGCCTTATTTAATTATAATTTGAAGCCTGATACTCATAATCCAAACTAATGATTTGATAGTTGTAGGTCTCTAATGACAAATTGATCAGTCTATTTTCCAAACTTGAGATCCAAAAGTTACAAATAACATGTTAGCAATCACTGCCCAAGACCTAATTGAACAACATAATTTAATAAACTAATATTAAATTAGTCACTTTTTAAAACCTTGGCTCTGCGCAAAATCAAGAAAGTTTTGTAAACTACATAAAAGTGAAATCAGTATTATTTATATAAAAACTCAGATATATAAGTGAATGCACATACTTTTTTTTATTATGCCAACTAAAATTTTAACTATCATAATCTGAATCAACTATTTGATGATCAAAAGTCTCTAATAGTAAATAAACCAGGTTATTTTCCAAACTAGAAGTCCAAAGATACAAATAAACTGTCAATAATTACTTTTATAGAACAAACACTATAATTTAGTGATACTAACCTTCCAACACCTTGATTCTGTGCAAGATCACTTTCAGGTTCTATAACAAGATTACTATTAATAGTATGAACTTGTTAGAAATTAATTTTAATATTCAATTATCAGTTTACCTAACTAACCTTGTAAAGTTAAGTGACAGTGTCATGTGACAAATCATTTCAAAGGTATGATTTTTCATTGAATTTGCTTTAACTTTATTTAACTACTAAATTTTGCTTTTCTTTACATGAACACTATATTTCACCTTCTATGAGAAAACCAATGACTCTTACTAGATATTTAATAAAAATGAATAAACAAGTGAAAATACAAGTAAAGACATAAATAAAAATATAAGTAAAAGTGCAAGTGAAGGCATAATTGAAGGTACAAGTGAAGACACAAGTGAAACTACAAACGAAGGCACAAGTGGAAGTACAAGCAAATGCATGATCAAAAACATAAGCAAAAGAAAAGTAATCAATGTTTGATCACATCTTTATTTATTTATTAAGTATAAACAATATGAGTATTGTTAACCTACAAAAACGACTATAACTCTTGAACCACTAGACAGAATTTGATGAAACCACCACCATTCAAATCAGCTCACTGAGACGGTTCTAAAGAGGTATAGATCATCCATTTTCAATTACAGGATCACAAGATCGAATCCAATAACCAAATTAATAAGAAAGCTGCGATCTGATTGGTTAATGATAACTGCGCAAGATATTATACATATAACATATATAACATTTATGTGATTTGAAGCATCTATATTTTATATTATCTTTAGTTTACATATA